CTTGGGTTTCACCAGCACTATAGTGGCAGTCATAGTCGTTTGTTATACGAGTATACGTATAAAGGTGTGGAAGTTGTTTGCTTTTCAGCTTTTACTCTAGTATGTATGTGCGTAAGGAAGGTTGACAATGGTTTTTGAGCTTAGAGTTCTTTTGTCGTTGCGTATTTACTTTGAGGTCAATATTATTGCTGTCGTCTAGATGATTTTATTAAAAGAATATAATGCAGCCTTTTGCTGACCGATGCGGTGATATGCATTTTTTTCAACTGTATTCCAAAACTTTAGTTTTGAAGGAGAGTAAACAAATAACATTTCTTTTGCGAAGTTGCTAAGTACTTCTTGATACGAAAAGATATTCTCGTGTATTCATTCTATTTTTGCTCTTTGAAATATTTTCCACTCTTAAACCTTGTGAAACTCTCTCTCTCTCTCTCTCTCTCTCTCTGTTAATTTAAATCTGATCTCATTTACAGTAAAGACGCTCCACCTATTATTGAAACGAATGCTTAGTGTGCCATCACCACCTATCCAAATTTATGCAACGTTTAAAGCAAAAAATCACCAGTTAACACAGTGAATACAATTGCATGTCGTATATCGTGTTTTTAAGTCTTTTTGAAATTTTCTGTTTTCCTATCCTTTTACCCTTTTGGTTACTTTAGTATTGCACACTTAATTCCATTTTGCGATATGTGTGATTCCAATGACACATGTAATTGAAAATAATTGGTATTTCCTTACAACTGCCTTAGGGCTCATTCCCAGTGAAACTATCGTTCTACGTAGATCGACCCAACTCCGGTGGAACTCTCACTGAATGCAATCAGATTAACAGATTAACAAGTCTTCTCTTGTTTCCAACTGTCTCATATAATCACCAGCTTTTCTCTATTCTACTCAACCCCACGAGGAGACGTTAATCTGATGATCTGATTGCATTCAGCAGGAGTCCCTGCAGAGTTGGATTGATCCATGTTAAATGCGCCCTATCATGTTATGTTTTAATGTTAAATGCACCCTATCTTATGTTTTAATGTCGCCTCCTCTTGTTTTCAACGTGTTCGTATAATCTGCAGCTTTTCTGTATTCTAATCAACGTCAAGAAGAGAAAGACGTTTGTCTTTGAGAGGGACAAGTAATTAAACCATGAACAATTTAAGGGAAAAGTGCCAACAGTGGCGTTTGAGAAGCATTTTCCATGAAATCAATATAAAAGAAATATTAGAATTTAGTGTTACCTTTAAATTACTTACATTGTCATTGTCATGCATGAAAACATGATGGCAAGAAAAAAATGATCGAGTAGTCAAGGTCTCTTGCCACCCGTCCAACGAACGTGTCAAACCAATTAAACAGACCCCGTTTTTATCATAATTTCCTTTATTTCTCTTTTTTCTTTGCAGAGGTTTCAAATCAATCAATTTTCTAGTTGATAAGGTATCGAGTAGCTAATTAAGAAAGGTATTACGACCAAAAAGTTCGTATAATATTCAGCAATGTATGTTATTGATTTAATACTCAAGGGCGTTTTAGCAATGTGTGCATCGTAGGCTAATGCCCGTTGTCAAATTTTCCATCCTTTCGGCAATTTACGGTAGTAATTAACAGTAAATTGTCAAAATTTTAGTGTTTTTCTGAATTTGTCAGTATTAGATAGATGAAATATCAACTACATATCAGCCTATCTTAAAATAATGGAAGTTTACAAATAAACCCGTAATTTTAGCCTAATTGCTGATTTACCCTGTGCTTGGACCTAAATAGAGACACTTGTCCATATATGTGTTTGATTGGCAGCTCCACTGTGCAGCTGTATATTTCCCGTACTAGATTGCTGCTAAGCCTTTCACATTCTGTGAGTAACGGCCCCCTTTCACTTGCCAAACAATACTTTTCATTTTGAATTTATCAGTGAACTTAATTCTGACGATCTATTAAAGCTTTAAAAAGCAGACATATAGATGAGACGTATATGGGCAAAGGCACTCCCCCTAGGTGTCACGTGGTATTCAATGTAATAAATTGAGTTACTGCTCTTATTTGCGTATCTTTAAAGTTTAATAACATAAGTTTACCAACAAAAGTTAATCGAGTATTGTATGTTTAAAAGTATCCTATTGCAGTATAATCATTTTATACTTGATATTTTCCTATGCCTTTCAAATAGTCTAACCAGTATGAAATCTTTCTCAAAGGAAAATGTCAAGCTGACCCTAGGAGTGGAAAATAACTTTTGTTGGCCTTTTTTGCCTTTAAAATCTTTTTCTTATATATAATATCTTTCTTTCTGTTGCCCTTCCCCTCTCGTCTTTTCTGGATATAATCATTTTATACTTGATATTTTCCTATGCCTTTCAAATAGTCTGACCAGTATGAAATCTTTCTCAATGGAAAATGTCAAGCTGACCCTAGGAGTGGAAAATAACTTTTGTTGCCCTTTTTTTGCCTTTAAAATCTTTTTCTTATATATAATATCTTTCTTTCTGTTGCCCTTCCCCTCTCGTCTTTTCTGGATCTGCTGTCAAATTATGGCATGTACACGTATAGACTTTCCACTATACACACGTACTACTACGTATAATGTATGTATTAATCTGTAGATCTGCCTGTAGCCTACGTATTGTACCATGCGCAGAGTTATATTATCCCCATACATGAAAAAATTCATTATTTACAATGTATAGCTGGTTTTACTTTTATCATCTCTCCAGCTTTTTACCTAAATTGATGTTTGTGAAGCTGGAAAATTCGAAATAATATAATAGGCCTACTCTTAATGAGACTGTAAAAACTTAATAAACTGATAAAACTAATTAATATAACCGATGACTGGCGGCTTATTATAGCTTATTAAAGCCAAATAAACTTATCAGCAAATATTTGGTACATTATGGGTACATTATTCGTCAAATGTGATAAAAAGTGAACCTATTTTACACTTACCTCCACATTTTCGACCGTTCTTCTAGATCTGTGACGGTTGGTTGTTTAATGCTGACGTAACGGTCCCTCCAAATAAAGGAGAAAACGGCGATGGAGTAAATCTGGAGATTAACTGTTTGTTAATATTTGATAGCTACAGAATCCACTTGTTGTTTTTGAAGTGTTACCTCGGAGAAAATATTTTATGATATTATTGTATAGGTTTTTTTTTTCTGAAACTGCAATGCAAATAAATGCGAAGGCTAGGCCTATACATATATCGCATATTTACCTCTCTCGACCCCCGTAGCTAACTAAATATCCAAAAGGTGAATAATTGTCTTGAGTAAATAATAGAAATGACGAATTGAAAAGAAATTACTCGGCTGTACAAAATGTTTCAAAGCTACCTGAATAAAAGGAACCGAGCTTATAAAAAGCGATTATTCACAAAAACCTGCTTCTTTACATGCTCGCTCTTCGAAAGAACTTTCTGCAGTAGCCTATGTTATCAGCATGAATGGACAAGGCTTTGTTTCAGAACCTTTTTGTTTCAGAACCTTTATTTCGTTCGCTATTCATAATTCGTTATTTGTACAGTACTATATCCAGTTTTTCCATTTTTATAATAATTTACATATTATGAATTTCATTTTAAATGTATATATTTTATAATTTTGAAGATGTGCCCAAATCATATTTCATGTGTCGGTCAGACCTGTAAAACGATAAAACCCCTCAAATGAATGTGTTTCATGTCAACATTTGAATACGCGGCCTCATATGAATGAAATCAATTACCATCAGAACCAAGGAATATAAGCTCAGCAGATGATTAAAAAAACATAAAAACCTATCTTTTAAAAAAAATTATGATTGTCCATTTTATATTTTATAGTACATTATAATTGAACTTATTTCTGTTGACTTTTAATATAAAACATTATAATTAGACATTTTTCTCTTTTGAGTTTAAGTTAAAACTTTTAATGCAAGACACGTTTTCTCTTTACTTTTAATTCCATTAACTTTTAATCTAAATGAAACCTTTTAACATTGTATTTTATTTGTATTTGCATTGTACATTGTAGGCCTACTTTGTAAACTCTACCGAACATAGGGCCTATTTTTATGGATTTTAGACGCTAAATAAATATATTAAAAATAAAATTATGAAATATATTATTTCCTTCCGAAATGCCAGAAATATATGACTATCTAAATGAATCATGAATCGTAAAAAACCAAAAACGAAAACGTCGAATATAAAGAGTTTATGTACATCTACACCCTACAGGTTGAACAACGTTTTGTTTGGTGAGAAAGCCCCGTAGATCTACAGTAGGCCTATGGTGGACCTATAACTTAATATTTGTATGTTCAAAACGAAAATATTGGCATAGGTTACAGTGGCGGATTTAGGGAGGGGGGTCAGTGGGGCCCTGAAAATATATCACACCAATATTCCACTCTTGAAATTAGAATTTTGACTAGCAATATCATAGTTCTAAACCGTACCAAAGGGTACTGCTTGCCCTCCAAAACACCAAACATTTTCGGTACCCTTGAGCAGTCCCCGAACTTCACACCAAGGGGGCGACGGTCGGCTTCGCATCCGAGGCCTGAAGTTCTGGACCCCCCCCCCCCCTCCTCCCCCTTCAAACAATCCTGGATTATCAAATCAAAATTTGTTGCTTCCATAGGCCATTCCTTTCATGTTTCATTTATTGTGCAAGTGGGCAGGATCTTATATCATAACGAACCTTGTTGCTTAACTTGGGACATCTTTGATATGCAGTGTCTAGGACCCACGTAGGCTACTTACACACTGTTACAGGTAAAGGACTTTTAACTGTGGTGTTCGATCTTTTTTTCTTATCATGGTATAATTACATATTTTCTATCCGTCTGTTTCTTTCATCTGTTATTATTATTATTATTATTATTATTATTATTTAAATGTTTTATGTTCTTCTACAAATCTTTGAAATTCCACCCAATCCTAAATCTAAAACCAGTAGACTGAACAATCATCACCGGTTGTGCGAGTCACTACTAACACAATATGTGTCACGAGCGTTTCGTCATATTTCACAACAACAGGAACAAGGAAATGGGACACATTTATTGATAACGATCACAAAGGCTTCGGGGACAGGACCTGACAGTTCCTGGTTGTATTATTTAAACCCCTTTTCATTTGCTATTACAGAATTACTAAACATTTCTCAGCTTGTTGGATTGATCAAACGCGACCGCTACAGGTAGAGGTCAAAACACGGCGACAACCTGACCATAAATTCTCACGTCTCCGCAGGTAAGGAAATCTGTACTGTTCATCTTATCTATGTTGGGAAAATTGTTGCGTTTTTTAGTGTTGTGAGGAAACAGGCATGGGTTTTGACTCATATTTACCATTTGATGTTTGATAAATTCACAAACAATATTTATAACATTCGATACTGTTATTTGGCCATTCTTATCATGCTTAGGCTACTAACACAGGTCTGTGGCATAATTGACAAAGAGTGTTCTGTCTTACAAATGGGAACAGAAAAAAAGTTTGTTTGTATCTCAAGTGTACTTGAACTTTCTTGGAAGCCTGCTAGCACTAAAACATTAAAGACTATTAGTCACAGTTTAGCTGGATCGACACCAGGTTTTGCATGATAAAGGACTTCCTTTATACAGTTATTTACATTGGCTCAGGTCACCTCTTGGTTAGGTTCAATGCGAAGCTGGGATAATTGACCAGCACCAAATGCAGAGGTCCTACTGTATCCCAGGATTGGGTTAAACCTTGGTAAGAGGTGACTGAAATATGAGTCTTTAACTTTAACTTTTGGCACAGATTTTGAAGAGGATTGTAAATAATACAAAATTATGATATTGAGAACTTATTAATGGCATTCCTATGTCAATTAAAGCCTTCCAAGCCAAGATTTTCCCTGCCAAAAGCTGATATTTAATAAAATTTTCATAGGTAAACTGC